TCTTTTTTTTAGATTCAAGCTCGACTTGCGCTTTGTAAGCTTTAAAGATTAAGAACACATCCGCCTTCTTCTTGATAGGATACACCCAATATCTCCTAGAGTAATCATCAATGAGTGACACAAAATATTTTGCTCCTCCCATGAGTTTAATTAGTGCTTGTCATACATCAGAATGAACCAGTTCTAGAATAGCGTTATTTTTAGAACTCGATATGTTGAACTTTAGCCAATGCTGCTTACTTGTAACACAATTCTCGCAGAATGCGAATTAAGTCCAGGAATTAGCTTCTGATCAGAGAGAATCTTCAAGCCTCGTTCTGACATGTGACCTAGTTTACGATGCCACATCATGATCTGTTCTTCTCCACTGCTAGTTGATGCCCCACATGAATTAGTTTCCTGCAGGATTTCTTCCTTGAGCGTGTATAGATTTGTAGCTATCTTTTCTCTTTTTATTACAACAAGCGCCCCTCTAACAATCTTCATGATCATGTTTTCTATATAGGTCTTGCACCCGAGATCATCTAATTGTTCTAAAGATAATAGATTTTTCTTCAAGCCCTTCACATGTCATATATCTTGAATGGTGCGTATTGTACCACCAAACAGTTTAATTTTGATAATGCCAATACCAAAAATCTCCAAGGTATGATCATCACCCATGAATATAGATCCTCTTCAGATAGGTTCATATTTGTGGAATCATTCTCTCCGGGAGGTCATCTGCCAGGAGGCTGCTGAATCTAGAGGCCAGACATCAACAAACCTCTTTCTGCCTTCATCAGTGGTTGCTTCACTGTATAAAATTTTACCGTCATCTGATGTGATGACAACATATCCTTGAGATGTTAATGGCTCTGAAGACTTTTTATCACCACTCTTCTTATTGTGCCAACACTCCAATGTCGTGTGCTCTCTTATACTACACTTGTAGCATTTGATATTCTTTTTTACTTTTTGATTTTAATCTACCATGGGTATGAATTTCACTAGAGTCACGTTCCGTTGATTTTTCTTTCGTCATCGATAAGGCCCCCGCTTGTTGTGAACTTGTCTGCCTGTTTTCTTTATTCTTACATCAATTTTCTTCCTCCAGAACGATTGCTACAATGTCGTCGAAGACTAGATAGTCCATAAGGACGTTTGTTTGTTAGATTGATGATGAGTTGATCATACGAATCAGGTAGAATTTGAAATAGAAGCTCTGTACGTTTATTTACACCGATTGTATGTCCCAACGTTGTGAGTTGGAGAATAGTGTATTTAGGGTATTGATGTGGTCGGTCATCGATGTAGATTCTATCATCCTTAGAGTGTAAAGTCTTCTTTTTAAGAAGATTTTATTGTGCAGGAATTTGACCTCATATAGCTTTGTTAGAATATCTCAGATCTCCTTTGTTTTATTCTTCTCTTCTATGCTTAACAGCACATCATCTGCTAATGCCAGATGGAGATTGGCAATAACATTTTCGTCTATCTCATTCCACTTTTTTATCATTTGTGATATCGTCCGGCCTTGCACCGATGAGCTCTAGACAATTATCTTTTCTCAAGATCATCTTTATCTTTAACTTTCACAGTAAAAAATTACTCCCGTTGAATTTCTTATCTCGAACTTTACCGCTATTGCTTCTACCATGAATGATAACTTCTACTATTTCACGTGAACAATAACCATATTTATGAACAATAGTCGTACTCTTAAATAGTAATTGTACTTATGAATAGTATCATACTTGTGAATAGTGCCAAGTGCATTCAAAGGGTAAATGATAATCTAAATTATTTTCTGATGTGGAGAATCCACTTTTAGTGGCAGCCACATAGCATACAATAAGTAGATACACGCACCTAGGGCTGTCCAAAACAGCCCGCGGCCCGGGCCCGGCCCGGAGCCCGGCCGGAGCCACATAGCATACAATAAGTAGATACACGCACCTAGGGCTGTCCAAAACAGCCCGCGGCCCGGGCCCGGGCCGGCTCTTTTGTGCCGGGCCCGGGCCCGGCCCGACCCGGATTATTTTTTTTCTTTTTTTATTTTTATTTTTATGTATTATATTATATATGTATATATAAATATATATAATATGTATAATATATGTATATATAATATATTTTTATATATGTATAATATATGTATATATATAATATATGTATATATAACATATTTCTATATATGTATAATATGTCATATGTGTGTATATATATACTCTCTCTTAGTATATAAGTATATATAAGTATATATAAGTATATATAAGTGTGTATATATACTCTCTCTTAGTATATATACTCTCTCTTACATATAATATGTCATATGTGTGTATATATACTCTCTCTTAGTATATAAGTATATATAAGTATACTCTCTCTTATATAAGTATATATATGTATAAGTATATATAAGTATATATTTTCCTCACAGCAGACCACCTTCTGTGATGAAAATTTTAGTTCCTCACTAAAGATGATCATGATTTGGTCTCCTAACTAGTTATTTTATTGGCGAGGAAATATGTGATTTTGGTGATGAACTTTTTCATCGCGAAATGCACATTTAACGAGGAAATAATCATTTCATCACTGTTCTTTTGGCGAAAAATAGAGGAAAACCCGCCAAAATGTGTAAATCTTAAAGAGCGTAAGATTTTGGGGTTAAAGAGTCATGACTGTCACGTTCTTTTGCAGCGCTTGATTCCTGTATCGATTCGTGGCCTTCTTCATGCAAAAGTGTGTGAAGCAATTATTGAACTTTCCATATTCTTCACTATATTATGTGCCAAGACATTAAGGGTGGATGAACTTAAGCAAATTGATGAGCAGATTCCACTTACGTTATGTAAGCTTGAGAAGATTTTTCCACCTTCAATTTTTGATGTTATGCTGCATTTAGTAGTTCATTTAGCATCTGAAGCCATACTTGGAGGGCCTGTTCGATTTCGATGGATGTACCCAGTGGAGCGTCAGCTTTATACTTATAAGTCATATATCAGAAATAGGGCACGTCCAGAAGGGTCAATTGCTGAAGGATATATAGCAGATGAATGCATGACTTTTTGCTCAAGATATCTAAAAGGCTTCGAGACAAAGTTTAATCGCCTTGAAAGAAATTATGAAGATGACAATAGAGAATGTAATGAAGCACAACTATCTATTTTCAGACATAGTGGGCGGGCATTGGGTGCTGCCACCACCCGCTACCTTGATGAACGTGAGTGGTTGCAAGCTCATATTTATGTTCTAAAGAACTGTGATGAAGTGCAACCACACATTGAGTAAGTCACTAAAGTTTAAGATTCTACTAATAAATTTACTATAGTTAGTCAACGTTAATCATATTTATGATATTTTAATGTAGGGACTACAATGAATTCGTGAGAGAACCCACAAATCACTATGATGATAAAGATTGGGATAAGAACTTTATCGAGTGGTTCCAAGCTCTAGTACGTATATATCTTGCCTTATTTTTTAAATATCTTGATTGGTTCATTTTATTACATGTTCCATGACTTGATCATATTTTGGTTTTGTTTAGGTTTATCAGAGTTATCGAGAAGATGATGACTTACTTTCACTATCTCGTGGTCCAAGTAAGATTGTTAAATGTTTTACTGGATTTGTCATAAATGGACATCGATTTCATACAGAAAGTCGAGATAATTGTTTGTCAACTCAAAGTAGTGGGGTTGCAGTTGTTGGTGATGCTGGTGATGGTGGAGATATAGATTATTATGGTGCTTTGGTTGAAGTTGTCGAATTAGAGTATCCTGGTAGAAGAAAGGTTGTTCTATTTTGTTGTAAATGGTGGGATGTGCACGGCAAAGGAAAAGGGACCGCTTTGAAAGAAGACAAATATGGATTTATCAGTATTAACTGCCGACACTTGCTAAAGACGAATGAACACTTTATACTTGCTGGCCAAGCATCACAAGTTTTTTATGTTGAGGATATTGCCAATGAAGGTTGGCATGTAGTTCTTAAAGCACAACCCCGTGATTCCTATGATATGCCACCAGATACAGATGATTGTGAGATAACAGACGATGGAGTTGAAGCTTATTTGCAAGATGAATCATTTGATGCTCAGGCTATTGCATCAACATCATTGGAAGATGATTATATCAATTTGAGAAGGAGTGACATTGATCCAATTATTGTAAATTCGGTCTCAACTTCAAAAAAGAGGAAAAAGACTCAAGCAGAGAATTAGAACGCTTTAATTAAAGAATAGAACACAAATGATATTGTGTTATTAAGATAAATTTCTATTTCTGGCTAGCCTTAAGTTATTGTGCATTGATACTAGATTTTGTGTTTTTTCTCCCTGGGGTACATAGCTGACAACCTCCTTGTCATCATTATAGCAGCAATTCCGTTTCCAGTTTTGTGGAATCTGTTATCTAAGGATACCTTCAAATAATATGCTTTGATCAATTAATGTATAACCAGTTATCTATAGTTATTGTAGTTTCCAGCAGCATTTGAACAAAGTATGATAAATATGTCTTTAGTGTAAGATTGTACCTGCTCGCATGCTTGACAATTATTAACATATAGCTTCAGAGTACTATCATCCATAACCATCAAACTCTATTCCAACTGTTTAAGCTCCATTTTATGATTCCTTTGCCAATCATCCTATAATAACTTCTACTTTAAATAGTATATGTTTATAATCAAGCTGTGTCCTTTCTACTTCTGTGTTATCAAGAGCTTGTTATTGTTAAAATTACCTTGTGTTAGTTGTTGACTTCGGAGCAATTGATAGAATGAGATCAATGTGGCAACCAATAGCTATATATTCTGTATGATAAAAGCTAGTTTCGGGATTTGAACATAAATCAATAACTAAATAAGCAAGTAAATAAATAAACAACCGAATCACAGAAGTAAGCTCTGGTTAAAAGTAGTCCAAGGTGAAAGCATGTATTATGTATTTATTATTATGCTTGTTCTTGGGGTTTCTTTTTCTTTTATTCATTTCTCTTTTGACATTTGTTTTATACATAGTGTATGATACTTAAATTCCTATTCATAGCAGAAAAATGAAAACTCAAGAAGTCACTTCCAAAAGCAAAAGGGCACAATTTCTAGCACCCAGGTCATTAATTAGGAAGCGACTTCAAGCACTTGCAGAAAATTCATTAAGAAGGGAACAACTCCGTACTTGTCATGACAAGAACTTGAATATTCAAAATCCAATACAAGATCAAAATATGGGTACAAATTTTAGTGCTGATTCAGAAAACTTTGAAGAGGAGAATTTTGCACAAAATCGCAGGAGAAGTGCAAATACTAACAATGAAGAGAATGATGATTCTGCAGGTTGATGAGACTTAAAATTTATTGTTATTTCTTTTTTATCTTTCAATTTATTTTTTTATGATTGGATTAATAATTGCCCAATTTTTTGCAGAATCAAATAATCATCGAGTGCAAAGTGATGATGTAATACTAAATGAATCTCGACAAGAAGGTATATTCTTTATTAATTACAAGAAGTAATATTTTTATCAATTTCTTTTTACCTATATCTTGTTTCTAACATATGATAAGATGTATGCAGCTGATAATTCTCATAAGAAGAAAAATCCACCTCGTGGTAATAATAAGTGTTTAAAGTTGAATAATTTGTCACATGGGGAGAAAAAGATCATTACTTTTTATCAGAATAGAGCTATTGAGCCAGAATTTTCACGATATCTTGGAATTATTATTCGTGATAGAAATATTTGCCCAGTAGCTGTTGAGAATTGGGCCAAAATACCACAACAAAATAAAGATCATATGTGGGCATCCATTAAGGTACATTGAAAATTAATTAAATGCATTTGGTTTTTAATTCTTATAAATTAAATTTTGATTCAAATTTAATATAGGATAAATTTGATGCTGAGGACATGGAGCAAAAGAGAGAGTTAGTAATGAGACACTTGCGCGATTTGTGGAATAAGTGGCGTGGTGACATGCACAAGAAATATGTGAAAGAAAATTCATTACAAGGGATTGGCTAGTTAAGGAACATTATTTTTCTTCAAAATTTCAGGTATTAATCTCCTAATTTTATTAATTTTGTTCCATGTATATTGTTGGATTGTTAAAATTATCTTTTAATCTTGATGTATAGAAAGAAAGCCAACAAAATACATTTAACATAGGCAAAAGAAAGATGCTCCACCACACGGGCAGCAAACCATTTAGACAAATTGCGTGGGAAGTGGTATACATTCATAACTAATTTCTTATTTATTTATAACTACTTTGTTTTTTAGTTTGATGTTGTACTCATTTTTATTTAATATTTGAATAAGGGTGGCAAGTCAGGAAATCCACCTGATGTGGCAAAAATGTTTCATGAAACTCGAAAGAAAGCTAATGAAACACTAGAAAATGGGGATCAAGATAAATATGTAAGTAGAATATGTGTTTAAGTTTGATAATGATGCATTATATAGTACTAACATATGAATTTAATTTTTATAGGATGAAATTGTTCAAGTCAAACAAGCAAACCCTTCACTTTCTGACATTGAGATAGTTGAGAAAATCTGGGGGAAGCAATCTCATGGTCACATCACTGTATTTGGTGGCGGGACTACTTTGAAAGATTTAAGAGGACCGCTCCCTAGTCGATCTGATCTGGAAGCACGGGTTATAGAAGAAAAGAGAAAGAACCAGATGCTTCAACAACGCTTAGATGAGCAGGAGCAACAACAACAAAGGATGTCTGAGTTGGAGTCACAAGTGAAAGCTATGCAAGAACTTTTTTTTAGGCAATCACCTTCATTGACTCCTCAAACTCGAGAACATGTGCAGGATTAGGTAATTATTTTTTGTAAAATCTCTTATATACTTTTATGATTGACTACTTGCACTAAAAAAATATGATTTTTTACTTAATAAGATAATATTTACTTAATTGATATTTCTTAATTATGTGATTTTTTTAATTTTTCAGGCTATCCATGCAAGATTAGGAGGGGGTAGGTCGAGTCTTCTTTTGACGATGATTAGAGGTGTCAGAGATGTGTCTTCCCCAAACTTTTATTTTAATTTGTTTTAGATAGTTTCATGTATTTTTCTTTGGAACAATTAGGATATTAACTCTTATTATTAGTATTGAATATTTGAGGATGGTGGAATTTTATTTATTGATGTTATTAATGAATGTAATTTTTATTTTACCTCTTATTCATTATTGGATATTTTTAATATGTTTTTGTTGTGAATCTTAGTGTCTGGTTGAGAATAATATGATAGTTGCCTATGAATGGAAAATTTATTATTAATGTATATTAGAAATTTGTAGTCTACAATGACGGTTTTATAAACCGTATTTTGTTCATCAACGAAGGAAAAGCACCGTCGTTGATGGGTTACTAATTACCCATTATGTGGACTTTTACGACGGTATCCAACCGTCATTAATTAGTCTTCAACAACGGGAAAATATCCCCGTAACTAATGGTAACGACGGGAAAATATCACGTCACTGATGGTAACGACGGGAAACTATCTCGTCACTGATGGTAACGACGGGAAAATATCCCCGTAACTGATGGTAACGACGGTGATAATTACCGTCGTAAATATTAATGACGGTAATATGTTCCGTCGTTATAGACTCTATAACGACGGGTAGTATATCCCTTCGTGACCCTTTAGCGAAGAGGGCTTCAACGACGGGTGACGAAGGGATTTTTCCCCGTCGTTATCATACAATAACGAAGGTTTTCAGCTCTTTAACGAAGGGAAATCCATTCGTTAAAGATGTAATTTCTTGTAGTGCGTCATACCCACACAAAAGTATGCGCGTGTGTGCAAGCAAGTTTAAGAAGAGATGTTATGAAGTCGCATCTGCTTACGTGTACAGGATGTTAAGCTAACAGTGATAAAGAGCTTATATATAAAAAATACAATAGTCAGCTAAACATGAATGAAACTTTAAAGAGTTATACTGTATTCTTTTCCTAAATTGCATACATCTTCGAGTTCAACTTTGGTTAAAAGCTCCATCAAATAAAAATGGAACTCCATTTCGTCTTTTGCACGCTTGAGGGCCAAATTATTGCCGTCCACGGTTCAAGGTACATTTGACGAGTACAACATTTTTCGTGTTGAAAAATTTTCTAATTGAATAATCTAGGCCAACCGCTAGGTCTCTAACTAACATATCAAATCACAAGAAATAAATTAATGTCTATGTACAAACTCCCCCATCCTTTTCTTGACTTCATTCTCTTTTCCGGCAATACTATTTGACTTTTTCGTAAGCTTGGGTAAGGATCCCGTATTTGAAATCCTAGGTTTATTCACTATGTATAAAATTGATTTTAACGCAGGCCTGCAGGTGCAATTGCATGTTTTTGTTAGTTTCTGTTAAAAATTAGAAATATTATGAAGTTGACTGCAAATATGTGGATTTCCAATTGCGTAGAAAACTTCTTCTTCAAATCTTTATGATGTTTACTCCTCTTCGCATTGATACTTTACAGTTTCACTACAAAATGGAAAGAACAACAGATTCTGGAGTCCAAACTATAAGGCGTCACATAATTTTATCATGAGCCGTAGGCCAATCTGAAAGATCAAACAAAACTTGTGTAGCTCGTATAGGCATCCAAGTTGTGTTTGAACCACTCAAAATCAGGTCAGGTTTCATCGCCGTTTCGCGAGCCAAGGTGTTTGGCAAAATTGGAGTTAGTATTGGCACTTAAACTGGTTTAAGACTAAACCGCCCCTGCCCTGGTTTATTCCTAGCCTGATGAAAGATAAACCCAAACGCAGCCTTAACCTTAAACTTCATCTGTAAACTTAAGATTCATCATCAACTGTTTTCAGCCGAGACCAATGATCAAGCATCACTTCTGTTGTGACGCTACTGGGTTCACACAAGGCTGCAGTCCAAGGTGAAACCAAGAATGTCAAACCTGCCATGCACTACACCGTGCAATAACATGTTTCACCATCACAAATTACTATCTCTCTAATAGAGTCAATAAAAGGTGTAGGTACAAGAGCAGGTAAAAGATAATACAGAAATCAACAGATGAAATAATAGAGATCAAATTGATATCCCATCATCTAGCATAATGAAGTACAAATCAATGTCTGAAATAAATAAACTGAGGTACTCAACAAGTCTCAAATACAAGAATTATCTGACAAGAGAAAAATAAGACACACAGCCTTTACAACTTCTAGAATAAAAACCCTCAAATGTCTAAACAAAAGTCTACAGTGGAGCTCAAAACAAAAATATAACTAAATAGATAGCTGAAGCTAAAATACATCGCCATCAACCTGCGACTCTCCGGGCTCCTGGCTCGTTACCTGAAAGGTAAGGGACAACGAGCGTCAAAGCGCTAGAGAGCAACATCACAACCAACCCCAAGAGATAGGGCTCGTTGTATATGAAAATACAGTTAACACATAATAATAAAAAATCATTTATCCTAACAATAATGGGTTTTAGTACTTAGGAAATTACAACACGAGCATAGGTACGTCGAGCGAAATAATCCAAACAAGGAAATCCTCGTTATATACCTTGTATCTCAAATTGTAAGTCCCTAAGTACCAAACCCGGAGTCTAATATATGAACAATAAAGAAAAGAAAATGAACCCATCTCTACCGATAAATAAAGTCATGTCAAAGCCACAATAAGTGTCACGTCCAGCCTAGGTAGCTATCATGTCCCAACTTCATAAATATGTCATGTTCTAAACTCGGTTATGTAATGCTCAAGGTTTAGCAAATGTCCAACACATGTACTAAATGATATGCATGTCCAACACATGGACTGAAATGATAAGTGTCCAACACATGGACTAATAGTAATGCTTGCCCAACACATGGACTATAAGTAAAGAAGTGCAACTGTCAAAAGTATATGCGAAAAGATATACATATACTAAACTCGTAAATGTCTTGATGTACAGGTCTAAACTTGTGTCAAAAGTCAACTCACATGTACAAATAAATCACTAACATTGTAAACTAGTGTCAAATAATCGAGGCGACCCCGAAAACAACTCAAACAGATCAAGAATCTGTAAACCACCTCATCAGTCGACTCATGTGTCGACTGATGCAACCAGTCGACTCATTGGTCGACTGAGGAACTGCGAAAAACAAAATTTAGCCCGTCAGTCGACTGATCAGTCGACTGATAGCTGAAAAATTCAGCCCGTCATTGGACTGATCAGTTGACCGAACGGCTACAGAACCTGCTGTGCAGGTTTTGATTATGCAATAAAATTTACCTAAAATCATCATCGTAAATCCTAAGTATAAAGATACTGATTTTAACATATATGTACTAAACTGAAATGAAATCTCTGCATGTAAACATCTATCAAAATCCTTAAACATATAAAAACATGTTTGATACATTTTGAAATCAATAAATCATGAATTAACTCTTTTCAAACATTTTCAGATCTAGATCTCTTTAAGAAAACGTTGATGATCTTTTTATAAACTGAAAAGCACAAAATTTCGCATCATATACTATAAAGATTTATTCTTTGTACTAAAAATATGTTTTAGGCTAAAAAAACTCATTAAAACCCAAAAATTTCGTGCAAAACAAAAGGGACAGAGATGGGCGAGATGTTACTCGCCTCAGGGGTGATGAAAAGCTCCTGGATCTGCGAGAGAGTGGTTTACTTCGCTGCAAAGTGAAAGTCTCGACGAAAATCCTCCGAATTCTCCCAAAAATCACCAAGAACGAACCTAGGGTTTGAGACAGGGGAGTGGGGGCTAGGGTTTATCAGATCTGATGATGAGAGGGGGGTGATTTCGGGTAGAGGAGATCATATATGAACAGCCAGACCCGACCCTAAACCCGTACCAATCAAAACAGACCCAAAACCTGGAAAAACTGGAAAACTACTCGTCAGTCGACTGATCGGTCGACTGAGTTTGTCAGTCGACTGATCGGTCGATTGATCCGGCAGTTTCCTGTTTCGTGCATGTTTTGCTTATTTACAAAAACCAATGCACAAAACTCTACACACATGCCTCATATCATCTCAAATATCATGTTATCATGTCCATCTATGAACTCAAGCTATTTATCACCATAATTCACATATATACATAACAAAGAAAAATACGGGGTTTTACATCTGTGCTCAAATCAGAATCTTCAATAATAAAACTCGAAAACACAAATCACAATATGCATCTTTATGTACATATATACAATTGATCATCAGGCAATACATTAAGCGGAGTATCGTTTATTCCGATCAAATCTTGAAGTTGGACTGCTTGCAAGATCCTCCGAAGAATGAGATGACAATGGCAGCCTAGGCTGAGGGAGCTTGGACCCTGTGGTCGCGTTGTAGGGCTGAGAGGCGACATGTTCAATGGCGCTGGCTATGTCGCTACTTGATGGACGGATGTGCGGTTGCCCCTGCAAGCACAAAGCGGTTATGATTGTGAGCTGGTAGAATGCGCGTACAGGGTAGCGGCCCTGGAGTAAAGGATCGGCGAGTTCAGTGAATCTCTTTCTGTCTTTGAGAATAGGATGAGACTGCAGAGAAAGAAGCAAGAAGGTTTTGAATATTAAGAACCTAGAATGTAGCAACAGTGTCAAGAATTACAATTGTTCTCATACAATGACTGTGATTGTTTGAGATTACTTCCTGTGTAGTTTTACAAGGTTACAACTCATTGAAATAGGTCATATAAGATGTTTTCTGACGAGTAGGCCTCCTGAGGTTAAAAGAGGCAAAAAAGTTCCACTCAAGGGGTTTATCTGTAAATAGAACTACAGGGGGGTCTGTCAGCAATTGGGCAATTGTACAGGAGTTCTATCAGCAATTAACCCCATAAAAATAAAGAAAACATGTTTACTCAACTTCCTTTCCCTTGATTCTGGGTTGTTCTTTTCAACAAGCATGCACCCTGATGCAGATTAGATGATATTTGATTGTGTATGATATCATGTGTGATATGGTAAATTGCACATGTGTATTTCTGATGTGAGAATTCTCATTACGACAAAATTATGGAATGTTGCACTGTAATTCTTTTCATGGAATGAAAATTCAAAGTTTTGCTGAAATTCTTACCTATGAAGTCTTACAAGATTACAACATATTGAAACAACTAATATAGGTGTTCTCTCCAAAAGTAAATGAAGGGAAATAAAGGGGATAAAATCCATAGGTTGATCTTCTGTGTGATGTAATGAAGAAGGATAGTGGTGAGAACAAAGTTTCAAATGGGGGAGTAAGACCAAAATGCATGTTTCTTGCTTTCTTGACATTGAGTTACTTATCACATTTGCAGAAATTTAGAATGAAAAATAAAGGATTATTTGCAGATAGACGCCCTGCAGTTATATTGTTGCAGATAGACACCCTGAGTGAATTTTTTTGACATTTTTACCCTCATCAGGTCTATTTGTCATAAAAACAATTTTCTCTTTCTCCACGGATAAAAGTTCAGCTAGGGAATTCTACCTGCAACAATAGAATTATAGGGGTCCATCAGCAATAGTATGATAATAAGGGGGGTCTATCTGCAATTAACCCAAAAATAATTGGAAAAAAAACTACATGTTTTCCCTAACTTCCATTCTCTTGACTCCTTTCTGTCTTCATAACATGCAACTGAACACTGATTGGCGGATACTAAGGTGACTGTTTGTGTAATGCATAGTATCAGCAGTGCATATTTGTATTTTTTAATGTTAGAATTCTCATTACTCTAAAAACTATAAGAATCAACAAAAGTACATATTAATTTTGTGATCACAGAGGATTGTTTATTCATGCCGCGATGAATGAATCGTACGCTTATACATGGTATATGTTAAACTTATACCTCATTAGTATTGTAAAATGTTTGTTTTTAACACAATATCAGGTTTTATCAATAAGCTATAAGGAAAAAAAAGGCTAAGACAATGGATAATCATGTAGACCTTAAGACAATGGATAATCATGTAGAACTTTCTCAAAGAGATGATTGATTGCGGCAAAGCCTAGTGCTATAGACACCGAATATTTTTAAAGATAGATTTGACTTTATAAAACCCGAAACAATTTCAGTTGCCTGTCAAATGCCTATCAATCTTATAATCTACTTGAAGTCCAGGTAAAAATGCACATGTTATTGCATCAAACATATGCCCATTTATCAGAATCATTGAATATCTATATCAAGAATGTCTAATAAAGGGCTGCATGATGAAAAAAGTTTGTTTGCATGCAAGAACTAAGATAGCAGTTACATACCCAAACTATTAAATTCTGCTCCCCCATCTTCCTACTGGGATCAAAAGCCTTTCTTCCGGTCATCAGCTCCAAAAGCACCACCCCGAAGCTATATATATCAGATTTCACTGTTAACTTGCCACTCATAGCATAATCAGGGGCACAATAGCCATAAGTTCCCATAACTCGAGTTGAAACATGAGTATTGTCTCCAACTGGACCGAGCTTTGCAAGCCCGAAATCAGAAAGCTTAGGATTGTACTCATCGTCCAACAGTATGTTTGCAGATTTCAAGTCCCGGTAGATAACAGGAGGGCTTGCTACCTCGTGTAAATATGCAAGACCTTTGATGGCACCAAGAGCAATCTTCATCCTTGTATTCCAGTCAAGGGGTTCTTTGTTAGGAGGAAGATCTAAAAAAAAGATGAAGCATGGATCACAATATAAACCAGTAAAAGGCTCAAACCTTTGAGAGGTAAGCAGTAGCATAAATATTTTGCCACGTACCATTCAGCACAAATACTTTGCATTACCAATAAACAAGGTCAAGCAAGAGCTGCTGGCAGATGTGAAAAATGGGTTTAAACCCCAACTCAACATAATATAACAAAGGGGTTTTGTTTATTGCTAGTTCTATGTCTTAAACCAACAAAAGCATTAGGTTAAAACTAATTATTTTAATAAACTTGATCTGACTAGCTTACAGTTTAAATGGCAAAAGCCGCAAAACTTTTGTAGTTCCGTAATTAATCTTTATTCTGCATAGAATCAGCAATTATTCCATATACAACTAAGCTCTATATCAGAAAGTACAAACCCTCTGTACTTCTACGATTGCAGTAGATCACGAAAAAAAAATTTGTTGCTTGATAAATAGACCTCCAAAGGGTAAAACAGCCGAAAAAATTCACTCATGATTTATAGCAACAATAGAACTACAGGGGGTCCGTTCCCAACTAACCCTAAAATGAATGAGATCAAAGAGAAAATGTAAGATTAAATGCAAGGAAAACTTACCAAACAAGTGTGTTTCCAAGCTACCTTTCGCCATAAACTCATAAACCAACAACCTCTCATCTCCTTGCGCACAATAACCAATCAAATTGACGAGATGTTGGTTCTGCAACATAATCAACATGAGACACTCCACAACGAACTCCTTGCTCCCTTGCATCCCTTCCTGATTCAACTGTTTAATTGCCACAACCTGAACCATCAAATAATCCCAAATATTTATACATTGACACATTTCATCAAACCTTTGGTATGTGAACAAAAATTGGGTAGAAATTTTGCCTGTCCAGATGCAAGTGCCCCTTTGAAAACTCTCCCAAAACCTCCTTCCCCAAGCAAATTTGATTCTCTGAAATTCTGGGTTGCGACAACGAGCTCTCGGAGAGAGAATTGCTGGGCACCTTCAAAGTTCTCCATGGTTGGAGACGTCGGTAGCCCTTCAGTCTCCTCTCCTGAACACCAACAATTCAGTTAGGGCTTGTATTTGTTGAAAATGTTGCATGCAGCATTGGTCGCAGGAAATTAATCATATCAGTTATTTGGATAATATGAACTTTTGTTGGGTGTATGAAATTTATTTTCAAATACAAATCTAGAGTTAGTAGCAAAAACAATTGCATTTGCATTATTTGTTGCAGAGCATATATTTTCATTGCATATCAGACGTCTGTTTAGCCGCAACCGAAAAATGATCTTATTTTGTGGGTTTACTACACCAATTTAAGGATTTGGAAGCAATCAAGAAATTGCATTATTTTGTTGCAATCAAATTTTTGTAGCAAATATAGTTTTTATTATACATAATGAGAATTTAATTACCATTCTTCTCAACTATGATATTGTAAACCAAACAGTAAAATAAGCAAAATCGAATAAAAACAATGAAAATGCTTACCCATAGTACTAATGAAGCTAGACAAAGACCTGGATCGAGGAGATGAAGACTGTGACATACGTTGACGATTCTCCCTCAATCGAGGGCTCATACAAAAGCAACTCATCTCTTCAACCTATAACAACAACGCAAACCCAAACCCAGAAAAAATCAAGGTAAAATTCCGTGTACTCTCCCCCTCCCCATGTCTTGGGGTAGAAACAGGGGAGGGAAGAAAATTGATCTCTTCACTCCCTGTTGGACAATGGATATAGATTGAGAGGAGATTGGGGAAGAAGCGATGGAGATTTTGAGAGATTTGAATATTATTGGGATATTATTATGGGTTGGATTAGTATAGAGAGGGAAGTGAAGGGCCATTAATAAAAACAGAGTGGTTTGTTTATTTTTGGGGGAGAGAGGGTTTGATGAGTTCTCTCCTTTTTATGGACGTTTTCTGTTTGTAAGGTGCGGGGTTTTCGCGGGCTTCCCCGCCCCCCACCCCACCCCTTTTTTAATATAGTTTTTTCCTCTTTTAAGACATTATATTTTGTTGTTATAAAAAATAAGAAATTATATTGTGTGTTATGGTTTGACTTGTTTAGAAGTGCCAATCGAGTCAAGTTGCCCGAAATCAACTCGAGATATGCAGGATTTAAAAAAACCTCCTTTTTTGTCCACATTGCAACCAATTCTATCACATCAAACTTAATGAACATTCATTTCGTCTAAAATATTAGGTTCTTAATCAAATTCGATACGAGAACTCATCTCATTCTTTACCTACTGAGTTCTTGGTTTTATAGTATATTTCTTGTGTATGAATCACTTAACTTGAGATTAAGATGTTGCTTGATGATTTGTGGCTAAAATGCCAAATTGGCCTAAATAGTGTCACTTCTTTACCACTTTGGCCTAAAAATTAACAACGACGATAATTTAACCTAAAAAGTAACAAATCGGTGACAAATAAACCTTTCCCGTCACTGGAAGCATTTTTTAAGCAAGAAAATTAAGAGATTTATATATATACCCTTTAAACTTCTCATATTTTCTGATTTAACCCCTTAATTTTTAAAATTTGTGAAAAGAACTCATCTCTCCCCCCTTCCCATCATCTTTTCCCTCATCCTTCTTGTCATCTCTTTCATTCTTTTCTTTTTCCAATCGTTGCCGTTCTCTCTCCTTTCTTTCACATATCCTCACTCTTAAAGAGATTGGTTTTTTAAATGATTGGATGATGAACGAGGAGTAAGAAGTAGGGAGGAAGAGAGAGTGCAAGAAAAGAATGAGGTTAAGATTGTGGTGGAATGTTTAATTTTGGGTGTTGGGAGTGGGTGAAGCAAGTAGGAAGAGAGTGATAGAAAGGAAGAGGGGAAGACATCCATAGGTGGAAATTCTTCTATGATGGCATCAATTGGTTGTTTTGCTTATTCAACGCAATGACCCCTTCCCCTGAGCTGGTTTTAGCTCAAAGGACGAGGGAATGAGAGAGAGGAGGATATATTGGGGATTTGGAGTAAAATAGATTGGAGGTGTTAAAAGAGACTTTGAAAGGGACCTTTGCCTAATTTAGGCACCGTCCTTTAGGCAGAGTTAGGAAGAGTTTGAAAAAAAAATAAAGTGGCGGCCCTACTGAAATTATCCTAGAGGGGGGGAGGGAGTGAATATGGTATATGCTAATCTAATCCGATATTAATTCCAATTTAAAACTTAATAACTTATATCCTAGTAAATATGAAATACAACAAGTTATATGAGCTAAGCTATGCAATATAAACAAAGGGTGATATTAACAAGAGAAAATATGCAAATGAGATATTGCACAAACAGACAATACAAACACACGATGTGATCACGGAGTTTGGTCACTCTCGACCTACGTCTCCACTCCCCACTCACAAGGAGAACTCTACTATCTCAAAAGATACTACACAATCGGTTTTCAACACTCACCGATAAACGTTTACAACACTCACAATGCAATCACACAATCGGTGTTGGCCTAGCCCGTGTCGCCTTCCTCAAGTGCTCGGATTTACAACCTCTTTCTAGGCTTTACTATCGATGCCACTCCTCTTCGAATTAACCCCGTCTCTCACCACACACTCCTCTCGGTGTACTTGTGTATTACAAAGTGAACTCTCAACAATTAATTACAAATAAAATAATTTGTTCTCCAGTACAATTTGATAAAGAAATTAAGCTCACTCAATCACACTTACAACCCAAATGAATTATATATAAAAATGCTTAAGCTCAAATATGGGTATGTGTAAAAACAATATGAACACAATGAAAACTAAACTCAATATAAAATCTAGCTTAATTAAAATTAATAATCAACAAATAAATATGTAAAGCTAGAATTGAGTTTAGAGAAAACTTCTCTGAAATAACTAATAATCAACAAATAAATATGTAAAGCTAGAATTGAGTTTAGAGAAAACTTCTCTGAAATAACAAGAGTGAGAGAGAGATTTAGAGAAAACTTCTCTGAAATAACAAGAGTGAGAGAGAGATGGAATTGAAGCTCAAACACGAAAGAATTAATATTCTCCTCTTGTGAAAGTTTCTTCACAAAACAAACTTGAAACCGCTTAAAAACTCTTAAACAAACTTAAACCCTTTTGTAAACTTATTTTAAAATTTTCTTCATTAGTTTAGAAATTAAAGGGTATAGGGTATATATAGGATCAAGAAATAAAGGCCCAAAAATTAAGAAAATATCACAAAACAACAAAATCTGGAAAACTAGTTGTTATGCTAATGGTCATCAGTTCGGTCAACCGGATGACACTGGTCGGTCGACCGAAGGGTGTCCATTGGTCGACCGAAACAATGTTGTCGGTCGACTGAGGAACCCTAAGAAAACAGCTAAAAAAATATGTTCTGATCGGTCGACCGAAATAACCTGAGAAGCAAAACTAAAAAATCTTGTTCTGGTCGGTCGACTGGCATGCCTTGTGCGGTCGACCGAAAACTGACACATGACAAAAACAGCTAAAAAACTGAATTTGAAACGTATTGAAAAAATATCAAATAAATTCCAAAAATTATAAATTTTGGGAAAATATTTATAAATATGAAAATGAACATGTTACAAAAGAAAAATTTTGAATTGTATTTCTCATTTATGAAAACTCGTCATTTTGCAAAAACTCAAAAATACGTGTTTGTATGAAAACTTAATTTTGACATATGACTTAAACTAAGTTATAAAAACAATTTGAACTGATTTATGGATTATATATAAGATGTATATAACGATTATTTTGTCCATAAGTAAATAATAAAAAAATTACTTAAAATACCCAAATTGTGTTGAAAAAAAGAAATGTGTACGTGTATATAATTAAGCTTAAAAGTATTGATACACAAAATACACATCCTACACTAATATACCAAATAGTTTGCATATAAAGCTCGATCGTAGATCATGACATGACTTGTATTTGCTCTATTTACAATATAGCTCTTGAATCATTCAATCTGGGTTAATCAATCAAAACTAAACACTAGAAAACACGTTATAAATTGTTTGTTAAATCATCAAAATAAGATTAGAAAAATAGGCTCACCACATGAGTCCTAACACCCACCACAAAAAAATAATATAAAATTAGTGCATAGTATTTTCAGCTGCCTATAAATAGGGTAAAAACTCTTCAAGAAAAATCATCCTAGAAATAACTTCTCATATAGAAGAGTGACAGAGAAAACATAGAGAAAGGAATTCTTGGAGAGTATCTTAATCAAGAGAGAGTTTTCTTTTCGATCTTTTCTTTATAACTTCGGAAAGAAATATAAAGGAATTGGGCGTCGTCGTTGCACCGTGAAGTAGCTCCGTAAGAGTGAACCACATTATATCTACGAGTACTATGATTGAATTTGTGTCTGTTGATTTTATTCTATGATTCCACGTTCGTTTGGGTGTGTATTGCATCTTTGTTCGAGACATTCTTGTTGGCATGTATCCTAACAACTGGTATCAGAGTCTGACTTAGAGTACGTATATCTACTTATCGTATGCTCTGTGGCAGTCATTGTTCATGTTGAAAAACGATTTTATTGCTTTCGAATCCATTACAACTTTAGGCGTAACAACAATTCAAAATAAAAGAAAATTTAAGTCTTTTTATAAGACTTTCCTTACAATGAAAAGAACAAAAAGAAAGATTTCCTAAGAACACACGCAGAAATCATTTATCGATCTTCTGCTTGCGCGCAATCTTTTCCTATACCGGGTTTATCCGTGGACCACATCAGATCAGACCAAAATGCAGATATTGTTGACTCTCGAAGGAGTCAAGAAACTAAAGTAATTATCTTGGCAACAGCAAGATAACCACTCTTTTCGAGATCACAGTAATGGTGCGATCTCAAGGGAAGTACTGGGCTGCAGATCTATCAAACTCTCCTTCTTTATGCTAAAGAATTAGCTGAGATCTCCTCCTCCTCCCTGAAATTCGTGGCTCTTCAGTCTCTAATTCGGCAGGGCTTCGCCAAGGCTCGAGAATTTTCGATCTCTGCAAATAAAGGCCCTAGGGCTATATTTATAGGTTTCGGGAGCTCTGTTTTTGGATAAGAATGGCCGATTCACTCTTATTCTCAGTTATAACCACTTTATCTTATCCATGAGTGTCTCGGCCTTGGATGAGACACTCGCAGTGTCTCCACCAAGGCCTGGGCACTGTTCAGGCATGCCCCGGTCAAAATCATTGTATGTTTGTCGTTCGAACTCAGAATTATGTGATTCAAAGTACGTAGGAAAGCCAACAAAGAGATCTACAAGCTCCCATGGTTAAATCATACATGGAGTAGATGAAACACGAGGGGATCTTCATCTTTCATGAGAGAAGCGTAACTCCCGATCAGTTGGTTTCTTCATTATTCTCCAGTTCCGTTGCTTCATACGATTCGTCGACTCACTTCATGCGCTTGTTGATGTCAAATAAGTTTCTGTGACTCGGATAGTGATGTTCATCATCTTTTCTCCATCTCAAGTTGCTTGTGGGAATCCATGTGTAATTTTTGATACCTATAGATACCCCCTCTAAAGTGTTTCAGTCTCGTTTCTTTTATAGAAGAGCCTGAAATACTTTGAATGTAATCGGTCCAACCTTCAGTCAGTGAAAAAGGACCTATAGTTGGCTTTGATTGTTGACTTCTTTGATTTTTAGTCTATTCAATATTTTGACGAATAGCTAAAATTCCTCTGGTGCTGCGTTTATCATCTGGCCGTTGTTAAAGTCTCGAATCGAAACTTATGAGTTGGTTTTAGCTCCTGTCATTGAGTTGACTTTGAACTGACTATCTTTATTGAAAATTTTATCTGAACTTCGGAGTTGATCAGAGGTCATGTGTTGACCTTAGGGTTTCACATCGATGGGCGTTAACTT